CAACTGTGTGAGATTATCAAATATTCAATCAAAATGGTCAACATATCGTTTGCGTATTGTTGGTTATTTTGATTCGTTATTTTCGAATCAAATTCAAAACTTTGATGACTTTGGCTTTTTTGAATTTGATTTCAATTTATTTGTGGGTTTCATAATTTTTCGCTACTGGGTTCACATCAACAACACAAAAGATAACACCGTGGGTACTAGAATGAAACCAATTTTTTATTTACAAATTACGTTGGGTAAAAAAATAGTTAAATGCAAAACTTGAAAACCCTAATTTGGGTAGTAATTTATCTAAAACTCTAGATTCTAAGACTAAAAAATAAAAACTAGCTCCAACTTTTTTGCCTCCTATCTCACATCATATGTAGTATTTCAGAGGTTAATACATATTAATTTTTGCAATTTGGATTTTCCATGAATCAAAAAGTTCAAGTTACACGTGGCAATTGAACTTAATATATTCATAACTTAGGTTGTGGTATACATTTTTTTATTATCTTGAGTTCGTGGTTCTCTTTTAAAATATTTTTTTTTCTGTTTTATTCAAACAGAGAAAGTTCAATATATGGACTGTAATTTTTTGAGACTATATAGTTATGTATCTAATTAGTATTTTTATGTCCGTTCGTTTTAAGAATATAATAATTTAAGCACCGACCTTAATTAAATTATAGGCTTTAGCATACCTCACTTATGAACCAAATAAGATTTATTAAAAAAAATTATTATCAAAATGAATATAATTTTTGATATTTTAATTATCTCCTATTTTCATGGTTTTGAATCTTCTCTATTTTGCATCTTGAAAATTTTTAGCTGAATTTTCTCCATTGCATAATATTATCGAGTAATAACTTGTTAGATATACTTATTTATATTGACATATACGAAAATATTTATTAAATGTATATAAAAATATGGATAGAATCGAACCTGAACTCGAATCGACAATTTGAGTTTGTGTTTGGTTCTAGTGATTACAAAGATCCGAATGGTTTCATTTACAAAATAGGCAAAGTTTAATGGATGGTTCCGGATCTTGAAATATCCGGACCGAACCACCCCGACACCCAAGCCTATCGCAAGATATGAAAGAGAACGGCAAAATCCAAAGTTCATAAATTAAAAAATATATATAGAAAAACAAAACGAGGGGAAATAAAACAACACAAATCTTAGTTTCATCCACGTGAAAGATGATGTGAAAAGGTTTAAGGATCATTTCTCGATCTAAAAAGAAATTGAAAAATCAATCCTAATCGGTCAACTCGCGAAAACCGTGTCCAGGTTGACCAATTTTCAATTAAACGATTTTGGCACCGATTTTTGAACGAACAATTTTTTGAGCACAAGTGAACCGGTTTTTTAGTCCGATTTTCAAAACATTGTTAATTATATTTACACTACAGGTTTTATTGTACCATATATTAATCATACTTAAGATTCTCGATCTTTTCTCATTGTAACACTTGTGTTCTTAACTTTTTTTTTTGTCGAATTTTTATTTTCAACCTTCTATTAATTAGCATTTTTCGTCTATGATGATGATTTCTTTCAAAATATACCGTTTGCATACTTTGAGATGAAAAAAAAATATTGTCTTACTTTTACAAAATATAAAAGTTTTATTCTAACTTAATTAAGACATTCTACATCCTCTCAGCGAACCGTTTAGACGGAAATCATTATTAGAATGATATGTTATAATTAATGAAAGATTGAAAATAAGAATTCATCGAAAAAATTTAAAGATATAAGTGCTAAAATGAACAAAGAATGAATTGACAGAATTAACCTTGACCCTACTTCGTCCATTTTCCCTCCCTCTCTCTCTCTCTCTCTCTCTCTCACAGAGGAAATCCCTTTTCTATTCTCTAGAAATTGTTTTTGGGTTGTTTTAGGTAGGAAACTACGTGATTTCATTATGTGGACGGTGCACACAAGTGCAACTCTTTTTGTCTTTTTTTTTCTTCATAACACATTAGACTTGGCATATATTTGGCTTAGGTTTATGGACGGTTTATCGACACTCAAGTCTATTTTATCCACACATTTTAAGGATCCGTTTGATATGACTATTGAAAAATCAAAATGAACTTTTGTAACTCAAAAGTTGTTTTTGAATTGTTTATCTAATTTTATAAAAGAATTAGAAGAACTTTTAGATGAAGCTCATTTAATGTGACTTTCTCTAAGGGTGCTTTTGATTGTAAGGGTAGAAAATTGGTGGAAAGAAAATGTTTTACAGGGAAAAGATTTTCTTAGAAAATATTTTGCAGGGAAAATGATTTCAAGTGTGTTTGATTGGTATAATTTTCCACCCAAAAAATTTTTAA